CAGGAATGCTTAGGGGCTTTCAGTGATTGTTGGTGTTTAGAAATTAGCTTAGCTAGTCTCATGACTGAGTTTTATATTTAAACTGTTTGGTTTAAGGGTAAGAGAGTGATTTTCAAGCTGAAACAACAACTTTGTTTTTAAAGAAGATACAAACTTATTAAACTATTGTTACATTATCATACAATATTATAGTTTATTATTTGATTCATGGTGCAGTTATTAGTTTATTTATTAAAAAGATCTTTTGTTCTTATAGAATTTAATATTTTCTTAAAGCAGTGAGAGACAAAGACAGGATGTATTGACCTGTTCCCTTCCTGCAGCTCACTCCTTATTTACTTTAACTCTTCTACTTTCACAGGCTGTGAAGTTTAAGTTTAAAGTAGTCCAATAACTTGGTTTAAGAATTCCTGTAACACATTGCAGTGTTTTAATTGACTGTTTTATACAACCTCCCTTTATTGTCTTTGTCTTATAGCAAGATGCACAACAGTGGTTTGTCTGGTTGATGAAAAGTTAACTGTGCCACCTGCCAGAACAACAGGTGTGTGGAAAAAAACCCCAAAACAAAATATGTCATACAGGACCACAGAGGCTTTGATTAACCTGAGAACTTTCTTTACAGGGTATAACTCAACAGGAGTGAGCACTGGTGAGTTTACAACCTTTTTTTTAATGACACATTATTATTGAGCATTTACTACATGTCCCTAACAGTTTTAATCTGAGGCTTGCGATTTAATTGTAGACATGAATCATATTTACATTTAATACATATATCGATTATACATTTGCATATATTCATGTGTAATGTTTTGGATCTGTTCCTTACACTGATTTGGTTGGCCTGGAACTGAGACACACAAAAAGCAAAGTTCAGAAATCCTGTGTTCTGCCAAGATCTCCTTGTGTGTTTTATCAAGAGAATCCAAGACAAACTTCAGGGGAGGTCTTTACCAGCAAGGGGGTGAACAGAAGTAGACACAAGGCCCATAATGGTTCGAAGTTAAAGGTTAACTGAAACCTTATTAGGAGCAGCCCCCACCTGGCTCAACTTCCTGAATTTGTTTGTCATTCACCCCATGCAATGTCTGTGATCAACACATGAACCCTGAATTGTGAAACAACTGGAACCTTGGAGCAGAGCCCCTCTCACTGTTCGTCATCCTGTGCCTTCCCCCCTTTTTTTATTTTCCCTTGACTGTCCCCCCTCCTTCCCCTGCCAGCTCCCCCCAACTCGAGCTCCTCCTCTGCTGAAAAGACACATTTCCTGATGTCATTACTAAATCAAAATGCTGCTTGGCAAGCAGATGTTGTGAGAGGCCCAACATGGATTCAGTGACGTTAATGGACAAGTTCGTCATGAGAAAACATGCACCATACACTTCATTTTTAATTCAGTCAATGAAACCGCCTCTCTCGCTCTGCCGTTTAAATTAGTGAGTGCTGACAACAAGGAACTACCTTACAGATGTCGAACGCTCATGAGTTCCTCATAACATAAACATGTAAAAGGTTTCCCACACTTGTGGTGCGAGTATCAGTGTGTTATATGTACTGTATGTGAAGGTGGCTGGTCTTTTAAACAGCTGGTCAGCTCTGACTAACAATTTGTTCCAGGTTTGGTCAAATTCACCTAAATATGAAGTCATGGCTGTCTGCACAGCACGCCCTGCAGAGTCATGATTACATCCACCCCAAAATGCTAAACCCTAAATGTTTACTTATGTTTCCTATTTGGCAGAGGCAGCCCAAAAGGCAAATAAATCACATGCTGTGAGCTGGCCAGGCCTTCGACTGTGAGAAACTGAGACTAAAAAGCAGAACAAGAGTTAAAGAGTAAGGGTTTTCAGATGTGAGTCCAGCCCAGCTTGGGTGTGCTCCCTTTTATTTCAGAGAATGAAGAGGACAATCTCTGTTGCCTCCACCCCTTTGAAAAAGGAAGAAAATCCTAAAGAAATGTGTGCTGGAGATAGGAAGAGCTGCTGCCAAGGCACAGGGCTGTCAGACAGATCTTCAAATAACATCTGGTAACCGCGGGTAACACTGTTTGGACATCTGGTAACCGAAGGTTACACTGCGTCTCTTCCATCCTGCCGGGTTTCCTGTTATGCCTCGCTGTACACAGTCTACGAGGTGTAGGTTTATTATACATGGTCATCAGCTGGGGAAAACACAACTCTATTCTTTTTTTCTGACATGAAGGGAGCACTTGGTTTCTTTGGGGTATTCCTCTCCATTCTCTCCGGTAAGTGTGTGGTCTCCCTTGTACAGCTGCAAATGTCTGCCTCAGTGCTAGACGTGAGAAAAGAACTCAAGGGCTACAATAGACAGAAAGTTGTTCTTTGTATTGAAACATGCAGGCTGTATATCTTTGTAATGAATTGAACTAGAAAGAGCTTACATGGTAGAACGTTTATGTGAGCTGCAAGCAGAATAAATTGGTGTCTGATGTAAATGTGTTTGATCAAACATTTTGGTTTTCTGCCTTTTAGATCCCACTCATGGAAAGCCTACTTTGTCATTTGGTAGGTGGCATAGCCTTATAACCGTGCAACTTTATATATCAACCTGTCATCCAGAATTTAACCGTGATCTTCTGAAGATGTCCAACCACCCATCTTTATAGTTGTTTTCTAATCTATTTGTTTGTCTCTCTCTTTTTTACTCCTTCTCCTCTGTCTTTTTGTTACTCTTCAATTTGTGTAGAGTGTGGGAATAATTCTCAAAGTTGTATCGGGATTTGCATACTGTGCAGTGATTACTATGGTGGACCAACAACGGATTGCCTTTCCTCGCTGTTTGAGAATTTATGTCTGACCAAATTTGAGAGTGCAATGGCTTCCCTAAACAGCACTGACTGGTGCATTTGGAGCAATGTGAGAGGGTAAGTAACGTGTTCTGTGTTTGGATTTTTACATTTAAAATATTGTTAAATATGTGTCCGTTTTGGAATCACTTCTGCATTCTCCCTGTCACCATACTGCAGCCTCTATAGCAACTTAAGCCTTTGTACAGAGAGGATGTCTGACTGTCTCCAGATCCCATGGCCTAACCCTCTGGTGGAACAGACCTTTGTGAACATTCACTCCAAGTATTTCAAGGATTGCCCTGCAGAGGAGCTAAGTGATCCACCGTCAGTCGTTATTTTTGCCCTGGTGGTAACTCCCATCTGCCTGATCCCCATCATGGTTAGCCTTGTGGTGCTCAAGACCAAGAATGGGGATGGCAGCTCCTGACAATCCTGAATCAATGCTCATCATCCATCACTTTTTGGACTTAGGCTCTGTCTTTTATTCCAACCAGAGGACTGCTGTTTTTGACTGCTGCTCTGCTTTCATCTCACCAGCAACCTTGCAGAGGAGTGACTTTCTGACAAGTTTACTGGTACTTCACAACTCAGAAGAATTCTGAAATATCAGCAACAGAGGAAGCCAAGCAAAAGACATTTGAGATAATGGCATCACAACTACTACCGCTGTTCAATGACAAACTCCCCAGTGTTAACAGAGACTCACTGTGACAAAATCTATGTTATTACAAGTTCCTGCACTGTACTGTATCTGATTAACACTTTTACAGGAAAGGCTGTGTCAAAATGTTCTGTTTTCAACCATATGTCTGCAGATCTGAATGTAATGATATATTCAGTTTGCACATACTCAGAAAACAGCTTAATATTTACTGGAAAACCCAGTATTCAGGGTTATGATGACAAAAGCTCTGGAGCTTGCAGAAGTAAAGCCCAACTATTTTTGTGTTTACTTTCCCATTATGTTGGACATCAGTTATATTGATAAAAGACAAGGTAATATTTATTACTGAATTCCTGAACTCTGTTTATGCTTTTATACTTTTGTAAACTGTGTGATTTGAGACACTGATTAGACAATGTGAGTTAGATACAGCTAAATGTTCTTGTGTGATCTATGAGCCTGTAAGTGCAGGAAGGGAACTGGAAGCACAGCATATGGAAGGTCTGGTGTCAGATGTTACAGATGAGACTCAATGAATGCCTAGAAAAGATCTTTTTCCCTGGTATTGTATATTTTTGAACAGCCTGAGATCCTCCAGCTCTTCATGATCATATAATATTGAGATAAAGTTTATCCAGCAGCTTCAGATCAGACAAAAGACATTTAATTTGTCTGTGCAGCATGGTGATAAACACAGAGCAGTGACTGATAAACATCTTTTTGCTTGAATATTGATAATGTGGTTATGTATTGTTCAGTTTTCAATGACAATAAAGCCATTGTAAGTGCTTTCAGATTTGGAACAAAACGTGTATTTATATATTGTGTTATTTTTCTGCCAATGACAGTAATTACTGTGTCTTCTGAGAGAATACATTCTGCCTGCTCTCACAACATGTACTGTATACATTTAAATATACTTTTTATATTATATATTTTATATGATTAAATCTACAGATGTATTCTTGGCTCTTGCTCATTCCTACTCATCTGGTTCTCTGACTAAATGGAATGTGATTTCAGAGACTGGTTCAGTTCACATTCACATGGATATATTAGTTGTAGAATCATTCTGGCAAAGGTACCGTTCAACCTTCGTCATTAAACACTCCTTTTCCTTGGGTGCAGTGCAGATGGCATTGCTTTGGGTCTCGGGTAGTGTTTCACTTTATCTTCACTGAGCAGTATACTGTGCTGCAATGTTGCTGATGTAGTGAGCGAAGCAGTGACAGCAGTCATGTATCACACCCTCATCTGGCACAGACAATACTCTAGAGTGGGCCTGTGCTTGTGTGTGTGTGTGTGTGTGTGTGTGTGTCTGGCAGGGCTTGGGAGGAAAGTGTGTTTGGTGACCTTCTTCCTGTCTAGATGGCAGGTCATCCTCGTCTCCACCCCCTAATGATGTCATTCAACTCCATGTTACTCATTTTTGTCACAGCAAGCTAGAAATCATTTCTGATGCCATTATGCTATATGTGACTGTGAAAACTATATTTAAAAAAAACAACATTTTATTGGTCATGGCATACAAATTGTTTCACCAGGCAAATTGTTTAGTGCAGAAGTCAAATAAGCAAGAGCAACAAACAGAACATGAGTGAACATGTTTTCAGTCAGGAAACTTTGCCCTCTAGTGGTTTTGTGGCTCAGTAGCAGTTTTTCATACGATACCATAATTTTTACCAAGAAGACGGTCATTTCATAAACAAAGTTTAAAGAAGAAGAAAAAAAGACATAAATCTCAGCTTTTAAAAAATGTTAGCTTATTTTTTTTCTTGAGCAACATTGGTATCATCTTAATCACTAAGTGAGCTGTCAAGTCATTGTTTACATTAGGTTTATGCTCATGTGTATCTGTTCCTGAAATAGACCAAGGTTTGTCAAAGTCTATTAAAAGTTTGATGACAAAATCCATTCAAATGAGTCCCTGTAACCCAGGATATATAATGTTGCTCTGGAGAGAATGAGTTAGCTGTGGGCTACAACTTCAGCCCCATGTTTTAGCCTATATTTGTTTATATTTTGGAAAATTGGTGCAATTATAAGTATCCTTAAATAGATATTTGCAGTTTGTGCTTGTAGCTGGATGTGCAAAACCTAAAATTGAGATGATTCTCAGGCAAGTCTGGGGGTTTTGAGGGTTTTTTTTCTAGTTGACTTTATTTCTGATAGACAATCCTCGGGATGTGTACGTCACACTGAATCTTAAAATATGTGCATTGTGTCTGTGTGTTCTAACTTGAATTCAAGAAGTAGCATAAATACATTAACTGCTTTCATGAACTGTGTTTCTCAGCCTCTGTCACGGTGTCAGCTGTTGACCATGTAGGTAAACAGTCAGCGTCGGGCCAAACTATGTACCAAAACTAACTTCCAGTTGTTTTCAGAACACCTGTATGTACCTGTCTCCCACGTTACACATTATCTTTGAACCATGGTGGTACAGTATCTTTGGTGTTTTCAGGTGAGGCTGCAATTTAACAAGAAAATCTTTAAACAATAATTTTTATTAGAGTTAATATTAGGAAATAGCCTTTATATATTTTTATGTAAGTGAGAGACCAGTAATGTCAGTCACTGTGGAAAACAAAACAATACAAATTTCAGATAAATGTAGGCAATGAAGAATACTATGAAAACTTAAAAAGCCTTACATGAGGCCAATAGGTTTTTCTTCAGCCCCTCAGTTATGCCACAGTTACATAACATTTTGAGATGCCTCAACTTGCATATAAATGAGCTGAGTTTCAATGATCTGTGCTGACACTGAAGTGGGTTGACTTCATGCTGTGGGGCTGGAATATGTTTTGAAAAACAAAAAAGGAGCTTGTCTACTCTCTTTCAGAGATGGTTTTTTATGTAACAGCTGGCAGAGTTCATTTTGACCGCCAAATCAGGAAAATCTGGAAAACTGCAACCAGGGATACTTTGAAAACTCACTGATGTCATGACAAAAACTGAAAACAAAAACTACCACGGAACAAAAGATTATCATGTATTTAACTGTAAAACTGAACTAAAAGTCAAAAATGTAGTATCCCTACCATGTGTGTACCTGCAGATGTGGATGAAGATTGTGAGGACTCGCCTTGTTTTCTGCCACATGTGTCTCTGACCATAAGATCAATAGCAATAGATACATGAATATACTGTGGGACAAAGACTGCACAGTGTTTGTACAGTACAAAAAGACACCAGACACCCTTCTCTCTTTCCAGATCTGGACTCACTCATAAGCCTCAGATGTATCTCCAGTTGCAGTGTGGTGGCTTTTGGCTCTGGAGCGTCTGTCAGGGCCTTGGGGTCTTCAGTGGCTGTTACAGTTTATTCCAGACATATGGTAGCGTGGTTGGAAGGACAGTGAGTAAGGGCATCTACTGGTTGCATTGGCAGACTGGGGACTTTGGCATTGTAGGTGACTGATGGTGCAAGTTTTACTGCTTCATACACAGGAGCTTTTGGCAGTATTAGTGACGGCAGGTCTCTGCTCCACAGGTGGCCAGTAAATGTCTGGAGCTGCCTATAGTAAGTTACCGATGAGTTACTGATATCTAACTGGATTTATAGATACCTTATTCCATTAAAATCCATTTGCATTATGTTTTTCTCCCCAAATAGAACATTAACACACTGGAGTTGTGCCAAACAGGATGCAAATTAAAACACCCAGTGATACAATTCATTCAGTGTGGCATGAGTGATTACCTTGTTGTGCAAGATCCAGGCAGCTGGCACAGCTGTGTCAGAGCCGAGCCCTCAGCTGGATGACACCAAGCTAGCAGCTGATGACTGTACATTCACAGGTTTGACATCAAAACTGCTGCTTAACCTTAAATAAACATACAGAGAAATACAGAAAATGAACATGTGTGTTCCATTGGAAGCTTAATATATGGGTGGCAAAACTTCAGTTGTCTAACAATGATTAAAAAAAAAAAAAAAAAAAGTATTCCAAGTTGTAAAGATCAACATTATTGGTTTGATTCTGAGTGATTTGTCCCTGAATGAATAAATAAATAAATACTGCAGTGTGACAACATGAAGGGAGAGAAACAACCAGAGTGAGTTGGGACCATCATGGACATGAATTGCCAGCTGAGTCATTACACCAAAGTTCAGATGTGGCTCTGTTGGTTCATTTCAAGCTGAGAGGACGCAACGAAAGCTGAGTAAACATACACGGGATGTGTAGTTCACATGTTGCTCAAGGAGGTTCATATTACATCCCCACTGATGAATGTGTTTGTAAACATACAACATTATGAAATGCAATCATGGTCTCTAGAGAGTAATTAGCAAATCCTCACGGCTCATTTCTTAAACCTGGAATAGCTCATTTTATATAGGGGCACTCGGATTGTTGAAAAAACAACACTGTCAACAACAACAACACCTACTTCTCCGCCTGGCTCTTTAACTGCTAAATGCTTCACAGAGTTGAAACAATAAGCTGAAAAGTTGCTATAAAGCTCCACGGAGGTAGATGAACACAGAGTCAGCTGCTAAGTCTCGGTTAAAGCAACAACATTGTGTGGCTGTTTGCATTATTGTGGTAAATCTTTAAAACTAGGGCCAGCTAACTTTCTATGAAATATAACAGAATATCACTTTAGGTCTTGTGGTTTTTGTGCGTGCAGCAGTAAAGTTAAAGGATAATTTGGGGGTTGGCACTGAATATCATTTTTGTAAATGTTTATTGGGGTGATTAAAAAAAAACACAACATATTTTCATTGTTAAATATAGTACAATGGGAACAAGAACTGCAATTAGATTTATCTCATGTTACAAAATGACATCAGAAAATATTTAATTCAAGAACTACTAGAACAAGCATTAACAAGAAACATAAAGTAAGGTAGGAGTACTGTGGAGAACACTGTGTCAGCCCTCCCTCAGGTTCTTTGGCTTGTTACTGTGTCACTCTGCACGCTGAGAAGTTTCTGCCAGGAGTAACATGACCTTTGGCCCTCGCATCTCATTCAAAGGAACAGTCTGCAAAATGTGACCTTCAAAAAACTTGAAAAACAAAACAAACATGCAGAAGGCATGCAACTCCAGCTTTGCTTACAGATGTCTGACTTTATTGTTTTACCCTTGTAGACTCTCTGGAGGGGATCCTGACTGAAGCTGAGGCCTGTAATTGAACGTGGATGTAGGGGCTGCAGGGGTCTGTTGCCACCCTGACACTTGTCTGGGCAGACAGAGAGTGAGCTGTCCAGCAGTGGCAGACCCTGCTGGATGCCAAGACATGTTAGGAGCTGGGAATAGACACTGGAGGAGCTACATTATGCCAGTGTATTCTCATAATAATGGATTTTTTAAGGAAAAAAAGAAAAAGGTTCTCTGTTAAAACTAATCATCCTTTAACCTTGTAAACATATATATGATATTTTAATGTCACTTTAGTATGTGGGCATAATTTAAAACATATTTGGGGACTATGTTTTAAAAACAGCTTTTTTCAATGTTAGAGCTCAGAACAGTTAATATCAGAGGTGGCCTCTAGATGGCAGTCTTTGACAGCATATTCAGAAGCTGAAGGAACTCAGAATTGTACCATTTAGGGGTACTTCAAGTTGAAAACAGAAAAGAGAAGAATGTTTACTATACTACCCAATGTACCTTTGGTCACAGGCATGCGGTGGTTTAGGTTGTTAGAGCTACTGCAGTTCAGGCCACTATGCTTCTCTTTGTGCACTGTCAGTGTGAGTCAGTACAGTTCTTGTACTGTAGAATTAGTCTGGCTTAGCTTCAAAGTCAATAAAATGACTGGAAACAGAAGGGACCGAGTCACTGTATGAGTGTGATGACAAGTGGTGCTGTTAACAAAACAGAAATAAGGTGTAAGAACAAAGAAACAAGGTGTTCGCTGCTGTGTTTACATCACTTTTTATTCAAGCATGACAGTTTAAACAAATTAGCTAATGTTTAATATTCCTTTGTCAAAATATAAAAACATAATTGTGACAAGTTGCAACAGTTTTTTCTCTTGAAATTATGTTTTTCTCTGGCCAGGTTGGTTCATAAAAATACCTTTTATTCATTATCACTCACCTCTGCCCAACTTCTTGCAGTGGCTTCAACTGGAGCCTTCCTGTTATTTTAGTGTGATCAGATGATTGTGTAAACACATGCCAACATGTCAGCTTAGATGGTGCACCTGCACTTATCCACCGCCCTTTCCTAATAACATCCTGTAAAGATTTTGACAGAAGCTTTTAGCCAGAGAAACAGTTAGATTCACTGCTGTTAGGTGGCAAAACTCACCAGCCCACAAATGCGTTTATCCACAGAAGAAAATGCATTTTCACCTATTTTCTTGTTTCCCGTTTAAGAAGTGGTGGAAGAAGTAATCAGATATCCTACTTAAGCAAAAGTAGCAAAACCACAGTGTAAATATACTCTGTTACAAGTAAAAGTCCTGCATTCAAAATGTTGCTTTAGTAAAAGTACAAAGTTTTAGCATCAAAACATACTTAGGTACTAAAGGTAAAAGGAGACATTATGCAGAATGACACATTTCACATGGTTGTATAGCATATTATTAGATTATAATTACTGGTGAATTGTTGTGCTCATTACATTTAATATTGCAGCTAATGAATGAGGAACTAGATTTAATGAGTTTATATGCTTATAATTTGAAGCACACTGCTGGATAACTTGTGAATTTTCCACTGGAGATCAATAAAATCTGATGATTATACTACAATGTTCATATTAATCTGGTTCTGACAAGTAACTAGTTATAAAAATGAATGTAATGGAGTAAATAGTACAACATTTGCCTCTAAAATGTAGTAAAGTCAAAGTATGAAGTAACACAAAATGAATATACTCAAGTAAAGTACAGATACCTCAAAACTGTACTTAAGTAAATGCACTTAGTTACCTTCCACTGCTGAATCTTAGACGGTTCTTGAAAGCTTTTATCAGAGCCAAATCACATAATGCAAACAGGAATTTATTTGATATAAAATATTCATATCTGTATGCACCGATGCATGCACTCAGAGTGTGCAAATGCATAAACACAAACACACAAGCACTCACTCATAAGCACACGCAGTAGCCAATATAACACAAAGCATGAAAGAAGACTTACAGGTATCGTAAATGTAGAGAAGAGATTGAATGGATTGTCTGAGAACTTGTTCCATTTTAAAGCTCTGGCAAACAAAAGTTTCTGCTCAGTGTCCCCATGTGTTTATAGTGGCCATGTGTCATTTCTCCAAAACACCACTCGGCAATGTCTCAACAGGCCTAGTTTACGCTTCTATATTATGTATGGATTTTATGCAAATACAGTGGTGACAGTGAGCAAAAACCTTTGATCTGGGCTTCTTTGTGGCTAGCACAGTTAATCCTACAAAAAGCATCATGAATCTAAAGGGAAACCAGAATCAGGAATGCAGTGTTGAGATTGTAAATAGAATCCAGGACCCTGAACATTTTGCCTGTGATATAAATGAAGAGTTGATATTCCTGCTTTACAAACATATATTTTTCTAAGGTACACTGAATCGGTTGTGTCATCATAGCAAAATATGCTCTTTGATGATGAGACAATGCACCGATTAAAGAATTCTAAAGCTTTTTGTAAGTGCAGTGAATTTGTCGAGCAGTCATATTAGGGCCTTTGTCTAAATCTACTCCTGCCTCATTTACCTCTGCCAAGATCATAATCAGAGAACATATCTATTCACTTTGTCCTTGTGTTTACTTTTTCAGTAAAGTGTGATTGTGTTGTAAAAGTAACCACATGAACTGAAGATATTTTACTGTTCCCTCTGATTCTGCCAGGATAACAAAGTACTTAAAACCTTCTTTAGCTCAAAAATCTGGGAACAAATATAGTTTTACTCTGTTTCTTACAATAGATTTTAACAACACAAGGTTGTATTTAAGAACTGACTATTTTTAACATTTATTTGACATTATTTAGGATTATTTTAGGATTATTATTATTATAGAAAAACACAAAATGTGCTGGGTTTCTCAGTTTGTCAGAGCAGTGTACTATACATACAGCATTAATGATGACAGATGTCCTTTGATGCTGAGAATCACTGAATGGGATTTACTCACTTCTCTTTATGCACGCTTATGCTTAATCAACAGACACAAATGCACAAATAATTCAGCAAAAATGTTTATTTAATTTCTCAGACTACTGTGTCAAGGTAAATATAAACAAGTGTTCAGCGTGCTTTGTTAAGCTATGTGCCCTTATCCTCAGTAAGTCATCCTTGAATTTCCATTTCTATAGACGCCACATTAAAACTAGATGCTATTGAAACAGAAAACAGCTTTGGTTATAAAGGGAGGGATATTGCTGCCTGGGTAAACAAGCAAACTAAATTCTGATCTTAAGCAGATTTACTGTAGGTCAATGCCCAGGTACACAGACAAATGTCAGCAACGATACATTTGTTAAATCATGTGTGTTGACTGTGTTAGAAACAGTCTGTCAGATAAAAGCTTGGGGTGGAGGGATGAATTCTGCTGTCAGGACACATGACAGAAACAATCTTTGGGAGGCGTGTCTACTATGCCTACTGGCCCAGGGGTGTGAAAACCTTATCCCACACCTCCACCTTCATGATGGAGTTGCCCATGGGACTCATCGTAGCCTTGACATCCAGGTAGTTTCCCACATAACTGATTCCTGACCCATTGGCTTCCTCCCTTACAAACCCTTGCTCTTGCTGGTTCTTTGCATAGTACATTTCTTTGTACAAATTCTCATCGCAGTTACGGCCCTTTTTATTGATGCCTACTGCAAACCAGTTTGCGTACAAGTTGTAGTCCCAGGGAACTGAGAACATGATGGCCAGAGTCTCAATGTAGTCGTTCTGTGAGCGCTCAAAGAGGTCATAGGTCAGCACACCAACACTGCCAGTTGCTTTGCTGCCAGATTTGGTGAAGGTGCAAACCTCGGTCTTTAGAGGACGCACTGTGGGCTGAGGTGGGTGGTATGTCTCCCCGCTGTCAAGGAACACCCTAACCAAATAAGCACACACATTACACGCTTGTGAATCTATACTGTATAATACATTTTATATTGTGCAACTCTGGAAATATATGACTTCAAGGACATACCTGGGGTTGATGAGGCAGTAGTTGTTGGTAACATTTGTGATTTCAATGGTTACACTCCTCTTGCTGCTCACATCGACTGCTACAGCTTCAGCTGACTCCGTCATGTTGCAAAGGTTGCGAGATCTGCTTGTAAAACAAATGTAATTTCAGTGTCAACCAGGTGAGCCAGACAAAACCACAGCTGTGACTAACACTTTCCTCTGCTCCTACACACACTGGGAATCATGAAGTTCACACTTATTACTGTACAGAATATCGTCCTGACCTCTGCTCTGCAAGCTTGCTGTATTGGTATTGCGTTGACCTTCAGAAGTGCACACAGACTGGAACCAAGTATGAAGGATCCATTTCAGAGGGTAATTTCAAAACAGTTGCGAACAATCAGAGAATGTCTACAGACTTTCTTTACCTCGTTAGAGAGTGTACCTCTTGAGTTAAAGCACTAAAGACTGTACATTAATCAAGTTAGAGTGAAAACATTATAGAAACCAATCACCATTTTCATAAACAGATACTAGTAACAAATCAAATGCCCCATCAGGCTTGTATATGCATCCACCAGCTGCTCTTTTCATGAGCTAATGAGCCATTCTTTGTCTCTTATCAAAGTCTTTTTCCTCAAGTTTTCACAACGTACCTGCTGAAAACCTCTGCTGGTGCCTCCAAGTCCCAAAATGAGAGAAGTTACCTGACAGGGAGGTGCCGATAGATTTTTCTTTCTTGTTTGTTTAAACAAGTATGCATGCCATCAACCAGGAAGCCCTCCCATTTGTAATCCCAAAATGGACAGCACACACCCTGCTTCAGCACAAATCCTCCAGTAAGTCATTGCCCACAGAAGACTATGAGAAAAAAACCTCCCTGTGTTTCCTTCCCTGGGATAAAACAACCCCACCCTAGGCTGTGGCAAGGTTAAACCTGTTGCTAGGTACGCTGAGATCATTCACTCAGCCCCTGCAAGACTGTGTTTGACTGACTTGGTTTGAGAATCAAAGATAATGCAGACATCTCTGGAGCTATTTTCCATTTATTCTTTCTTTTGCTGAGATGCTTGCATTCATAATACTACACAAAAACCAAATATCAGAGCAAGATAGAGAGTCTCACAGCCAGCGAGGAACAATATTGTTATCATGTCGATTAAAAAAAGCATCTATGCAGATACCCCATCTGTTGCTACTCATTAGAAGTGGATGGATCCAGCTAAGAGATTAAAAAATGATTACTGTTCATCAGTAATAATGCAAGCATACTGATTGAAAACACATCCCATGCAAAAATAACACAAGCGCTGGGTCTGAATGTTTTATTGCCACAATCAAAGAAAAGGGAGTGCACAATGTACATAAGTGCAGGGCATAAACTAATGGAGAATCATTGAGCTGGCTGTCAGATTTTGATATCTCTCACTGAACACAAACTAAGGATGACAGCAAAATCAGTCTTCCTCTCCTCTGGATGTTTCCCTGGATGAAAACTTACAACAGCACTCAAATCAAATGAAGTGTATTTATTCTGTGGGTACAGTAGCAACAAAGTACAAGAAAGTACTAACGGCCCATTTTATCAAAGAGCTCAATTTTAACAATGGCTTTGCCAATGTTTGACATAGTAGCCCTCAAATCAACATTTGCTGCTTTAAATTCCAGCCCACTGCCATTTGTCTCAGCACAGATGAAGTGACTGAGGTCTTTCCCCTCATACATCTGGTCATACAGCTTTTTGTCACAGGCACAGGACTGGTCAACCACACCCACGGCCAGCCGGTTTTTGTACAGGCTGTGGTCAAAGGGTACAGAGAACATGATGGCCACGCGCTCAGAGCAAACCCGGCTCTTCATGTGGAACAGGTCATAGGTGAGCAGGCCAACAGCGCCTGTGGCAGTGTTGTCATCCTTGGTGAAGGAGCACACTTCGGTCATGGTTGTACGAACCGTAGGCTGGGGAGGGTGGTGACAGAAGCCACTCGTCATGTACACCCTATACAGGACAGCAAAAGACAAAACTTTACCATCAACCAGACTTTTGATGAAAAAAAAAAAAGTTTTGTAAGTTTTGTGGATATTGTCTGTTAGACTTTCCAGGGTGAAACACCTTATTCTGATGGATGGACTGTGACTGCACAAGTGCTGCTGTGGACTTCAAAGCAACAGTGAGTGTACCTGCATGCAATGTGCAATGAGGCAGTGTGTGTCACTACATGATAGATAGGTGGATGTTCTCAGCAAAGTACTGTCACACATGAAAACCACCCATCCAGGATATGGTCTGTGCTGCCACAGCTCGATAAATGTACAAGCATGGCACAAATTCCAATAAACATGGGAAAGTTTTATTTATCTTACTGTATTGTCTGCAGACTGCACCGTTGGTGACGGGGTGCCAAATCAAACAAATGATTCATTTATGGTAAATAGATGGTACTCTGCCATTTTACTTGTGGTATCACTGAACTTTACTTATAATTAAGTGCAGTTACACAGTGAATTAACATGCTGGGAATTTTTCTGAAAGGAGTGCATGCAAATCATGTCCGTGTTGACTTAGAGTTGTAATCGGGCGTTGAAGTCTCAAAGCAAGTTAAAGCAATGCATTAAGTCTTTTGAACATGAATACCTTTCCATGGAATCAGGAAGCATTTTATCTCTATGTGCAGAAAACAGCTGCTGATTCAGGCAACGTAGAGACTAAACTAATCTGGACTGACCTCCCGTTAAGAGATGAAGTTCAATCAAAAGGGGAAGAAGCTAATTGAAATGAATTTTATGTAAAATTTTGAAGACACCTTTCAATAAGTTCCAAATGTGGTGACACCTGCTTACATACACACAAGTTACTGTACAGGCAGTGTAGTAAAATACAGTACTGAGTAAACTACATTTTCTAATTATGAAATTGCTTTTATGTTGGCATGCGGTCATTCATTAGTTTGTATTTTTGTACAGGAAACATTCTTGGTATATGTATTAATACATTTACAGACTTACTTAGGGTTGATGAGACAGTAGTTACTGCTGACATTGATTATTTCAATGGTGCAGTTTCTGTTGGTGGTGAGAATGGCTGACACAGCTTCTCCTGTCTCTGGCATCTTGGCTGCAAGTGGAACAGGACTAAAAGCTTACAACAGTGTATCCACAGGTCACAATTTAGCAAACATCACATGTAAAGAAAAGACTGGGGATGTAGATCATAAATCATTTTGGGTCAAAAGACAAATACAGATCTTTAATCACTGAGAGGTGAAGATCCCTTTTATAGTCAAACCAAACTGACTCTCCTCGTCTCAAGAATAAAACGCTTGAAAGAATTTACCAGTACATGTTCTGTGTGTATAAAAAAATGCAAATTTAGTTTAAATACAAAAACAAACAATTCTTAATCTGGGAGTACTGAGAAAAGGTTGTTTATGCAGGAGTTATTTTGTAATCTTGCTATTAGTAAAAGTAATTATATTCACCTTTTTGGAGTTATAGACCCAAGTTGTACTTGTAGACAGCAGCGTCAAGTTTCTGTTTCCCAGATCCTGCACAGAGGCGGGGAGTCTCTGCTGTGTGACTACACCTCCACAGTACTTGTTCCAACACAAGCACAGGCGTGTCTGCTGTGAAATGGGCTTACTCCATCCCTTATGGAAAATTTCATGTCAGAAAGAAGATTTTGGGCCATGTAGGATCCCACCATTGCAAACTAACCATTATCAATAATGCCAAGTAGGCCAATCGTTAAGCTAATTCTTGAATTAATCAAACAAATTATATGTCAACATATTTGCCTTCACATTACACATAGGTGGTTCTTGACTAGCGCCGGTGCGTGGCAGCCTGTCGTCATTGGTGTGTGAATGTTGTGTGTGAATGGGTGAATGGTGTATGATCTCCTGTAAAGCGCTTTGGCCAGTGCAACACACTGTGAGAAATCGCTATATAAAATACAGTCCATTTACCATGATATCACTTAAGGGGATTTCAAGAAAATTGTTTTACTTCAGCACATTGCTGCAAAATGTTATTTTATTATCTCTATTGTTTAGATTTAATTTAATTTATGTATCTTTAGTTATTTCACTATGGATAAGACCTAATATTCCTGATTTAATTGAATAATTTTTCAATGAACTTGTCTCTTTGGTCTTCAGGGAGCCTTTGGAGCTCAAAACATGTATTTCATAAAGATCCTAATGCAACCTTGTGTGTCCTGACTTGCTTAGAATGACACTGTAATCTCCCAGGCATTGCTCCGATTATTGCTTGTTGTTGCAGGTTATGGCTAGCGACAGATTCCTGTGACTGATGTAGGGAACCTACCTACTGTCATATCACTAATTCCTTTACTGCAACCTCTGCTCCCACTTGTTTATGGAGTAGAGAGGACACTCCCCTCTACCAAATATTTTAAAATAACAATGTATTATGTAAGACAATGGACTAACTGTGCAGTGCTATATTTATTCATGATTCTAGGACATGATCTTCCTAATTAAGTATGTTTTTTTGAACGGTGTGTGTTTAGAGATGTGTTCATTACCCCAGCAACCAGTTCCAGTAACATTATGGCAGCTGTTCTCTTCCATATATTAGGCGCCAGGAACTTGATTTAAATCCTTCAGCTTCAATGCTTGAAGTCACCAGATGGCACCAAACATGCATTTGCAAAAATGCATCTGCACTACACAGACTTTGTCAGTAAATGTTTGCTATCTGATGGTTAGCCAACGACCATGGCAGAAGATATTTGACAAACATTACTGCACTGTATATATTCAGCATGTCCTTCGTTGTGCCCTGTGGAAAGGGCAGGGATCCATTCACACAGTTAAATGTGCAATACTACATATATACTTTATCTAAATCTATATACAAGTATGTACAGTAAGTCTAATGGAAATACACAAACCAAAGAATAACAAAAACACTAAACCTTTCTTTATTTTCTGATTAGTAAGGAGTGAGTTCAACTGTTATATAGCTAACATATTATTATCATTAATAATCTTTATAATTTATGTCAGAATGGAACCAAATATCCTCCTTATGTTAAGCAGGTCTGTTAATATTACAGTGTAATGTTATCTTTGCAGTTTCTCAGAAGAGTCAGTTAAGAAGCAATTAAGAAGGCGATAAAAGGACAGAATATCAGTAATCTCTATTTACAGGTGGCTTTTGAAGTGCTATGATGACAAAGATAAATGTGCGCTGAAGACGAAGCCATATTTAATTAAAGTGGCTGCGATATCAGTATCACAGCCTTATGTCAGTCATGTTTTTATAGTCTGTTGAACATTTTGTCTCCATTTTGTCTCTCAGTCTATTATAAGAAAAAGGAGGGCCAAGTTATTGCTTTGTTGCAACTGACACTATAAACTCTTTAGTCAGAATGATGCCCAAATCCCAAAATCTGAGCTGAAACTGAACAGATACAATATTTAACTATGCACTGCTGAACGTTATTTCCATTGCTTGTTTACTCTTTTTGTATGTTCAGCCTTGATTAAACAGTAAAGTGAAATGTTAGGCGAGACGAGGGAATCTTGTCACACCTTTTGGTCTTGTGCATTTGTGTCAATTTGCCCCATTAGTGGCTAAGTTCTCACAGTATATGGGGTAAGATGATATAGGGTCATGTAGAGTTTTTCTTTTTGTTGCTGCCTTCTTTTTCTTCATTGATTTAGATTTAGACCGCCCCATTTTTAAGCTGCTATTAACTGTTACTGAATTTATTGATATTGCTTAATTGTTGCTGGCTAAGGTTCGCTATATCTTAGTTTAGCTTAGCACAGGAACAACAGACTCTCCTCTTCAAAGTTAAAATATATTGGATATTTTTTATTAGAAGAAGAAAACTACATTACATATATAAATATTCCCCACCCGCCCCCCATTTTGGGGCGGTCTTGTATTCCCTCCTCGGGTCCTCTACGAGAGGCCTGGGAGCTTGAGGGTCCTGCGCAGTATCTTAGCTGTTCCTAGCACTGCACTCTTCTGGACAGAGATCTCAGATGTTGTTCCTGGGATC